CGTTGAGAATCAACAGAATAATGTTTGGTGATATTTTTCCAAGAAAGCTGACTTGAGTCTCACAATATTGATGTTTTCTGAAACGTTCTCTTTTGAATTCTGAAATAACTGTTAGCTCTATCTAAAAATTTAAATGGACCTTAATAACTTGCTGTGATTGGCCTTTTAACTGCGTGGTTTATCAACGTTTGAAATTGGTTTTATAGTTTGATTATTGCTTTTCCTATATGGTTCTAATAGCAACTGATATCGTTGTCGGATCCAAGTATGTTTAATCTTGTTTCATATATCAAAGATTTGATCCACTATTTCCGCTTATTTGTCTAATGAGGTGTCTTACGTCATGGTCATTAGTATCTCAACTATAGTAGTAGATAGCTGATCATCAACGGGGTAGAATTGATTCCGACTTGTCATTTCCTCCAAGATAGCCTTTTATGTGTCTGAGAAGATGGGTCGGTGTTCTATCCCCTAAGGTTAAATTGTTAAAATGTTACCGTAATATTTGTTCGTCCAAACGCCCTGTCCATTTGATAATCGCTGTTTTAAAAGCATTGTACGGGGTCAGGGTCAGGTATGCCTTCCAACAGGTCTGCGACTTTATTGACTGCACCGGGAGGTAAGGCTTATAGAACGATGGTGAACTTCGTTTTCTGTGAGCTGATTCCTCTAGCAGAGGATGCGGCCTGAAGTTGTGAAAAACAGTTTTCTTTTTGCGTTAGTTGCGTTGTTGAAGGGTAGTTGCTTCAGTTGTATTGTTGGGGAAAGACTCTACGAATAACTGTTTGTTGACTAAAAAATTGAGAGAAAGTTTGCTGCGCGTTCAAATAAAATGGCGATATGTATTTAACGTAAAATACACACTTTCTTAACGATAACTATTATCACGGAATAAACGTTTGTATTTAGAAAGTTCTTTCTTGAAGGGAAAGGAAATGATCATAAACAGATGGAATATGGAGTTGGGAGACATGACCAAAGAGAGTCCCTTGTTGCTTTAGTGTGAAAGACAGGACGACGAGGGTGACTCATGTCTCTTTACTGCTGTCGGTCTTTCTGTCGAGTTGATTGGATATCTGGTTTATATCGCTTTGAGTAGGCTCCAGAAGCTTATGTTTATTTATTGGAGGGATCTGATTTTATTGGCTGTTCTTTATTTTTATTCATTTGAATATTTAATATATGTTTGAAACCGGAAGTCTTTGCAGAGCATTAGCATGGTGGGTTTATTTTTGTCATTTGATTTCTTTGTTTCAAAACCGTTAACTTCCGCTATTCTACAGTGTCTTCGGGTAAATTCATAATTAAAGGAACATTCTTCATGGATTGATTATGTTCTTGTATTAGTAGTAGTATTAGATCGTAGGTCAATATCGTCGCAGGTCATCAACTGTTGTGCTGATTTTCTAAGTGTAGCTTAGATATGGCCGAAAGTATAGGGCATCACTTGTTGTGTGTCTTCTCCAGTCTCTCTCACCTCTACATTTTATACTCCCTACATGGATCAACAATAGAACGCTCGTTTTGAGCGGACACTCGTCCGATTCTTTGGCTACCATTATTTTACCGGAAGAAAACCGGAAGTTAACGTGTAGAGCTACCGACACACAGTCGCAGTTCATCATTTTACACTTCCGTCACTGAGCTCCTCTGAATCTTCAGAAGCCAGCAAATGTAGGAATTACGACAAAGTACAAACTTTCTGTCTAAAATTCTGCGACAAAGAATCGTTACAGTATTTACATTATTCTATATCGTTCTCATCTTTGTCGCCATATTTATTACAACGTTTCGGCCATTGTACGCTCCGGCCTTCTTCAGATGGTTGGAATGCCGAACTGAACCCTTTATTTCGCTCACTGGGTTCAGTTCGACATTCCAACCACCTGAAGAAGGCCGAAACGTTGTAATAAATATGGTGACAAAGATGAGGACGATAGTCCAAATAATGTAAATAATGTGCATAATACCTCATCTCAGAAATATATGCAGTTAAGCAATATACGGACAAGACAGTGATGATAGTCTGTGATTGTTTACATAGATGATTTCTAAGCAACGATAAACACGTGCATATAAGACGCTAGAAGCGAAAATCGCACCGCATCTCATGACGTCACACATGACCACGCGAGGGTGAATTGGAGAAGTATGAAGTATAGGAAGCCGTTGGTATAAACCAATGGCTTCTGTTACCAATTATAGACATTTAAGGATATTTGTAGAGATTCCATATTTGATTTTGTTTAGGTTGGGTTTCAACTGTTTGATGTATAATGCTTCAATACACACAATATATATATATATATATATATATATATATATATATATAAAAGAAAAACAGACCACTTTAAGGTTCTATTATAATAATTTATTTCACAAGAGCCCTTTTAAGGGACGCTGGATCATCAGATAACGCTTCCACACACTGAAATGAAAGATAAAATGAAAATTCACACTTTTGACGGGTAGTATTAAGTTTATGTAATTTAACAGAGAGGGTAGCGAGGACTGGTGTGAGAGACATGCTCGAGTTAGCTACAACGGAAGCGTTAACTTAGTAAAATAAAATTACTGTTTTTAAACAACAAATTTCCCATGATTTTTTTCGAACGCTCATATCAGTTCGAAGTGTATCTTATAGATACAAATATCTAAGTAAATTTATTTTACTTAAATATTTGTATCTATAAGAATAACGTATAAACAATAAATATATTAATATTTATAGTTACAAATATTTAAGTAATTTTTTTTTTTTACTTACATATTTGTATCTATAAAAATAACGTATAAAAAAATATATATTAAAATAATTGTCGGACTTAGTACATTTCATCATATATACATACACACACACATATATGTGTATATATTGTGTGTGTGCGTGTATATATATATATATATATATATTGAACAATAAAAAAATAAAAAATTAAAATCTTTAGACACACTGAGTTGTAGATTAATATTCTTTCGTTTTTTTTTTTATTATTATTCCATTTAGATTCCTCGACTAGTTTCGACCAAAATGGCCGTCATCGGGAGGAGAAATATTTCTGCTTGCTGTTAGCACTAAACTACAGAAAAAAATCTATATATATATAAATTACGTTATGGGAAATCATGGGAAATTTGTTGTTTAAAAACAGTAATTTTATTTTACTAAGTTAACGCTTCCGTTGTAGCTAACTCGAGCATGTCTCTCACACCAGTCCTCGCTACCCTCTCTGTTAAATTACATAAACTTAATACTATATATATATATATATATATATATATATATATATATATATATATATATATATATTCGAACTGATGTCATCATCATGGTTGTTGTTCTAAAATTTCAGCAATTTATGAAATTTATCATAATATATACATACATATATACACACACATATATGTGTATATATTGTGTGTGTGCCTCTCTCTCTCTCTCTATATATATATATATATATATTCGAACTGATGTCATCATCATGGTTGTTGTTCTAAAATTTCACCAATTTATGAAATGTGGAATTACTTTTGTTATTTGTGCTATGTGTGCGAATTGGTTTCTTTAGCCAGGCTGTGTCAGAATTTCTGAGATAAGGAAGAAGATTTATTCGACCCTGAGTTATTCAACCCGATGCCTTTGCAGCTACGTCGCTGTAACTTCCGGCTTTCATCTGTGGTATTCGGTCAAATTCTCGGCACTTCAAGCCGAACCCGTTATTCAATCTGCTTCGGTGGCGTTTTCTCGTTCCACTCTTAACGTCAATCAGTTTTCTCGCCTTTTGTCATGTCCCCCCTCTGTTCGTTCAACTGAAACAGGGATCTATGGAGTTTGTTTGCCTGATGCCCGCTGTCTGTTCAGGCAGATAAGATTTTCATCGCATCTCCCCACACAAAAAAATAACTTAACCGATCTCCGCTGTTAAACAGCGCCACTACTTAGGTCACCGGCCGATTGGCAATATCAGGAACTGTATTCTCGAATGTGAGGGTGACGTAATGAATAACATCTGGGAAATAGAAATCAGGGACCCGATTTCGAATTCTAGTTAAATTCGTTACATTTACTTACGTTAAAAATACACTTTAGAAAGGTATCGAGCCAAGTCCGTACCTAGGTCGCTGGTTGCTTGCGAATAACAGGTCCCGGAATCATTAGCTGAGTGATTGGTGCAATGATAAAAATTTCGACATTAGGAATCGAAGTGCCGTTTATTTCGAATTCTAGTTAAAGTCGTTATATTTACTTCCTCTAAAAATAGACTTGAGAAAGGTATGAAATCAGTCTCTATCTCCTAGCTATGGGTTAAATAGTAACCCTTATATTTGAAAATCAATATTATCACGAAAAAAGATTTACGGTCAAGACATGTTGAAGCATTAGTTCCCGTAAAATTGCTGAAGTTAAGCAGCTTCGAACCAAGTCCATACTTAGGTGGGTGGCCTCTTGTGAATAACAGATGATAGAAGCTTAGCCGAGTGGTTGGTGCAATGATAAAAATTTCGACATTGGGAATCGAATTCTAGTTAAATCCGTTATATTCACTTCCTCTAAAAACAGACTTCAGAATGGTATGAAATCAGTTTCGATCTCCCAGCTATGGGTTAAATAGTTGCCATTGTATTTGAAAATCATTATTATCGCGAAAAAAGATTTACAGCCTAAACATGTGGAAACACCAGTTCCCCTAAGATCCCTGAAGTTAAGCAGTGCCAAGCCAAGTCAGTACCGAGCTCGCTGGTCGCTTGGGAATAAAAGTTGCCGGAAACTTTGGCTGGGTGGTTGGTGCAATAGATAAAATTTCGACATTGGAAATCGAAGTGCCGTTTATTTCGAATTCTAGTTAAATTCGTTATATTTACTTCCTCTAAAAATACACTTCAGAAAGGTATAAAATCGATCTCCTACCTATGGGTTAAAAAGTAGCCCTGGTATTTGAAAATCATTATTTCGGAAACAAAAAAAAGAGAAAGAAAAAGGGATACAGCACACCCAACCTTACACTACCTGATATTCCCAAGTGATCCTCCATCTAAGTACTGGCCAAACACAACGTTGCTTTACTGTTGTTATCGAACGGGAGCCGGTGTTTCAACGTGATATGGACACCAGACAGATTTCATATTGAATATTCCTTCCATATCTGGTCTACTGCTTCTGCTGTGTATTTGGAAATTCCTGATAAATTACAAGGAAGAATCTGCAATATAATTGGTGTTGGCCTGTTATCTCAGCTTCAGTCATTTTCCCACCTCCACCTTTATGCTGTGGTAATTATTCTGATGTACTTTCCTCTGTTGTACTATTGAAGTTTGATTTTTAACTTGTTGTTTTGTATTACCCTTAGGTACTTTTTTTACAAGTTTTTCACCCCAAGCAAGGCGGGAGTGCCACTAGGACGCAAGGGGTTACAGAGAGTGAAAGCAAGAGAAAAGAGGCGTTGAAGAGGAAAGGATGAAGAGAAGAACAGGGAATAGATCAGGGCATCTGGAGATGTCGGTTGACATTGATTTGAATAGTTAGAGATTATAGCTATCAGAGAAGCAACTAAAAGGAAGTAAGTTCCACAGGCGGGAGGTGCGAGACATGAAGATATTGGAGTAGAAGAGACGGCTACATTTAACCGTTTCGACCTTGAAAGGGTGACGCTGAAATGTCGACCTAGTGACACGTTTAAATCCATGCAGTTTGGGAAACTAGCGAAAACAGCTCGTCAGAGCAGTTACCGTGAAAGTATTTGTAGAAAAGACAGAGGGAAGCGACGGTCCGTCTGTGTGAGAGCGACTGTAAACGAGATGCCAGATCAGGGCCAAACACATTGCATATTCATCTCTGGATCTTGTCGAGGACCCTGAGACGAACAGCGGGGTCTCTAGATCATATATGACAGCAATATTCCATGCAAGGGCGAATGGCTGATTTGTACATCTGAAGGATGGACTTTTTGGCGCGACACAGGGAACCAACTTTCCTTGCAGTGGATGAAGCTATTGATTCAATGTAAATGTTCCATCTCAGGTCAGCGGACAGTGCGAGACCAAGCAGTCGTAAAGAGGGGCTCTCGTAGAGTTGAGCATCAGACATTTAAATGGGAGGCAGGGCTGGTTCCTTGTGGTGAGTAATAGAGAGCAGTTTTGTTTTAGAGGCATTAATGTTAACCAACCAATTCCTGTCCCAGTCTAAAACCGATTGGAGGTCCTTTTCGAGACGAACGGCCAGGTTAGTTTTGTCAGCGATACCAGATTTGCTATTGAAGGAGGAGTAAATAGTAGTGTCGTCTGCATAGATGCCTACTTGGGAATCTATGACGTCAGGAAGATCGTTGATGAAGATAAGGAACAGAGTAGGGCGTAGGATGAAGCCTTGGGGAACATCTACGTTCGTTGGAAAGGAACTGGTTGATTTATAGATTTGAAGGATGGATTCGGACGAGGAAAAAATTTCTGGCGCGACATTGTGGTGGATATTTAAGAACGGTAAGTCAGAATATGTTGTTCTGGTGCAATGAATACCGTACCATATTTGGGGTCAGTAACTGTAGCTAACTAAGTGTAATAAAAAGACAGAAGAAGAGCACCCGCCCCCATCCATGTCCACTTTTGGCCTTGTGCCTCATTTCTGAATTTTTACAGAATAAAATATCACTTTCCTCTATGGTACCTAGACTTTATGAATTTAAGTAATAAACGGCGGCAAGGTTTCATCATTTTAGAGTTGAAATAGCTAGATATCACTGTATGTTCTATAAAACAGTTCCTTTTCTCGCACTTCTCACTTGTGGACATTTCTTCCGGCCTCTTCTTTCACTGTCAAAAATTTAAATGCAATGTCAACCGTTATCTTCTGTCTTCTTAGTTTCTCTAAGTGTTTTTTAATAATGTTTTTTTTTATCTTATTCTCTGAGTAATTAATTGCGTCTTAGTGGCTTTATTACCTTGCAAAAAATCATAATTTTAAATATGTAACTTTTATTATTAAATATACTTGCTTAACACAGCTAGAGGTTTCTGGCTGGAAATGATCAGAAAGCAATATTAGAATAAGCAGCTCCTGGGGATCCCTCTCCAAGACACTATATATTCTTGATTATAAAAATGGCAGAGCAGTAGCATAATCAGAAAATTCCTTACATTTTTTTTTATTCTAACTCAGATACAATAGTGTGTTAGTTTCTTTGCGTTCAAAATTACTCCTTTCAGGAACACTTCTGCGAGGTGGGAGGGTGACATAAATATAATTTCCTTGGACCAATTTCTATTACAGATATTTAGCAAGTTAGCCACTTTCAAGGCGAACGCAATATGACAATAAACACTGTTGCTATAATATGATCCTATTCAAAATGTCTCCACGGACACAGCTGGCGCAGATGTTGAAATGAAAAACGATAATTAAAAGTTACTTTTCTTTCCTATGCACAGAGTGAAATGGGTAAATTTTTCGCCATTTTATATTCTAAATTTCACGCATGCGCGTTGTTTGTTTTTGGTTTTTCGACTGAACAGTATAGTAGGGCACTGTTTATGAGAAAAAGAGCACCATGACGTAATTCACTCCGCCATAAATTTGGAAACGGCATGCTGTATTGCTTGGCATTCAGTCCGGAAGTTCCAATACGAACATTTCAGAGTGTCTGGGTATCAATGTAAGGGCAGTGCAGGTGATTCGGAAAGAGTTGGATGAGTCTAATGATGATTACGAAGGTGTTTGTTGTGATCACTAGTGATGGCGACGTTATTGTCATACACCTTCCCACAGGGCCTCACTCAAAGGGGATGTCTAAAAAAAAGTGTCAAACAAGTAGAAAAACCTAGTCATAGCTGTCAGACAATTTCTACGGCCATATCACCCCTTACATCTGGGCACCTGACTCTGCAAACTCCTTGATTTTTATGTGTGGGATGCAGTTGAGTGAGAGATCAAGAAAACGCATTGTAACAACTAAAATGAACTAAAGGTAAGGATTATGGCAGCATTCACAAACCAAAACAAAGAGACCGTCAAGGAGAGTTGCAGCAGATTCTGCAGTCGTGTGGAGGCCGTGGCTGAAGCCAATGACGATTTTAACGAATAAATTTACTCTTTAGTATTTCATGATATTTTTGTGGCGTTCTGGTAAATATTTCTGTTAAAATGAAATGTCGGTGTTATTTTCAGTGTCCAACATTATATACAGTTTATCCCATATATTGAGCAATAATTATAATAAACGCATAAATACATTTAATTATATTTTCTTACACACACACACACACACACACACACACACACACACACACACACACACACACATATATATATATATATATATATATATATATATATATATATATATATATATATATATATATATAGCATAATGAGAAACCACGTATACTTTCTTAATATGTATATAAAAAAAAGTTGCAAATTAAAAAATATAATAATGTTCTTTTATGAAAGTATTTATTTATTTGTATATATTTGATATTTCAGATTGACCTGAATATATATATATATATATATATATATATATATATATATATATATATATATATATATATATATATATATTCTGAAGAAAGATTGAGGCCAATCTGAAATATCAAATATATATACAAATAAATAAATTCCTTTCATAAAAGAACATTATTATTTTTTAATTATAAATTATTATATATATATATATATGTATATATATATATATATATATATATATATATATATATATATATATATATATATATATGTATATATATATAGAATATCTCCATTTGAACATGTTTTATTAAATATTATAGACATATTGTGTCTACTTATTTTTATAGCGATCCTTTCTAGTTGTCTAAAAGTCTCGTGATGTTGAGATTTTATCACAATCATAATAAATATGTCTTTGTATTTCACCCCGAAAGATGAACTTGGGTTAAAATACGACGACGCCTTCCTTGATGAATTTCATCACAACATCAGGGAAACTATTAGACAGCTGAAAGGATCAGCATAAAAACAAGTAGACACAATATGTTTATATTATACAATTATATATATATATATATATATATATATATATATATATATATATATAAGAGGTGTTTTTTTAGTTTTAATTTCTCATGATCTAATATTTTTCTTTTATTAGATCGTATGAGAAATTGTATAAAAAAATAAATAAAGCACCTTTGTCTGTCGTATTCAATGAAATGTACACGAAAGAAGGATTGCTGCCTAAATACACAAATATATATATATATATATATATATATATATATATATATATATATATATAAGTGAATGGAATATAGGTAGGTATACTTGCGCGCGATTTTATACAAATACATATAAATACCATATAGTGTACGGCAAAACTATAAAGCTATTGAATATATAAGAAATATACATAATATCTTACATTAATTGCCCAAATCCGTTGGAATTATTGGAGTAATTACACTACTTGAAAATTGCATCGGCGTGACACCAGGAGTTGTGCAATTAATGTAAAATATTATGTATTTTTAAATATATATATATATATATATATATGTGTGTGTGTGTGTGTGTGTGTGTGTGGTTTACCGCTTTCTTTCCTTCTTCCATGGCCTTATTGATTCAAATTGAACTGTTTTAACATTTTCGATTGATCAGTGGATGCGACTTGCGACATTTCTTTTTAAGGCTACCGGGTTGCCTCATCCCGACTGGAATTAAGGAGCCCGAACTTTTTGGTATAACCTAGAGAGTCTGCTCATATTAAAATGAGTGGATCCGAGCTATATATATATATATATATATATATATATATATATATATATAGCTGGCCACTTGTATTCGGAGGGCAGCTAGTCAATCCCTATTGCAGACGCATTTGTGTTTATTCAACACCCACAGACCCCCACCTGTTCTTTATACTGAGCAGACTTTAGTTACAGTTTCCGGGGAAGAGCGTATTATTTAGCGTGATCAACTATTTTAACAAGTCCAGCACGCTCAGCCCTCGGCAACGATGACTTATGACTTCGTGCTAGCACAGCTATCAACGGCCCACTATTTCCCATTTTCACTCACTAGGCTGGGGTTGACCCGTGGTAAGGTTTTCAGGCACTTTCCAAAGGTACCGCAAGCCGGGATC